AGGAATGATCGGAAAGGAAGAGGTGAGATTATCATTTGCAGATGACATGATACTCTACATAGAAAGCCTCAAAAATTCCACCAAATGACTTGTAGATTTAATAACCAAATTTAGTAGCCTAGCAGTATACAAACACCCAAAAATCAATAGCATTCCCGTACACAAACAACAAACACTCCAAGAGAGAAATTAGGGAAACCATGCCTTTCATAATAACATCCAAAAAATGAAATTCTCAGGAATCAGTCTCACAAGGAAGAAAAAGATCTATATGGTGAAAATTATAATACCCTTTAAAAAAGTGATCAAAAAGGAGTCTAGAAAACTGAAAGATATTCCTTGCTCATGAATAGGAAAAATCAACATTGTGAAAATGGCCACACTCACAAAATTGTTATATAGATTCAATGTGATCCCAATTAAAATATCATCAGCATACCTCACAGATCTAGAGAAAACATTCCTACCGTACATTGGAACCAGAAGAGACCTAGAATGCAAAAACAATCATGGACAACAAAGAAAAGGCAGGAGACGCCGCAATTCCAGACTTGAAGTTACAATACAACCTTAGCATGGTACTGGCAAAAAAAAAAAAAAAATTGAGGATCTATGGATTAGAAGATGCAAAACACAATTACAAACACAGTAAACCAGGGGGCCAAACATGTTCAATGGAAGAGAGATAGCCTTTTTAATAAGTGGTGCTAGAGGGCTGAGGAGATAGTGCAACAGTCTAAGCTCCTGCCTGGCAAGCACAAGGACCCAGGTTCAATCCCCAGTCCCACAGCTGTGAGCTGATTGGCCACGAAAACTGGGTGTGGTGGCACATACCTGTAATCCTAGCACTAGTGAGGCTTGAGGATCACTATGGGTCTAAGCTGTGGAGTGAGACCCCATACCAAATAAATAAATAAATAGACTTTACAAATGATGCTAGAAGGGACCAAGGATATGGCTCAGCAGCTGAAGTGCCTGCTGGCAAGTACAAGCTGGACAGTCTATGCCAGCAGGATGAATGATTTGCCAGCAGGTTGAAGAATCTGAAATGTAGCCAGGAAGCAATGATCAAGATAAGAATCAGAGCTCCCACCAAAAGTACCACAGCCATCCTCGAGAGCAGTGAATTACTGAGCTCCACCAGTGATGAGGAAAGCAGGGTTTCCCACCAGGAAAGTCAATGTAACAAGCTACTCCACTCCACAAGGCTGAGCAGCGTGCCATCATGTGCTCCAGAGCCAGGAAGCAATGCTCAAGATGAGGGCCAGAGGTCTCCCAAAGTGAGCCACAGCCATTCTCAGCAACAATAAGTAATAGCAGTGAATTCCTGAGCTCCTCCCACAACAAAGCAGCCAAGTTCATCAGGAAAGCCAGCACAAGAAGGTCCTCCAACAGAGCGGCCCAAGAGAACCAGCACCTTCCAACAGCTCCAACAGCTTCTCCAAACAGCATCCCTAACAGCCTCTCAACAGCTTCTCCAGTTCTGTCTTCTGTGCTGCTGGCAACAACCCTCAGGTGGACCTCACACACCCAGTGTCACCCTAGTTCAATCCAGCTGGGTGTTGACCACCAGCTAGCTATCCGCCTGACTGTATTTCCATGTATTGATATGTACCGAGCTGGCTCAGATAGTACAAAGATTAACTAGAGCATTTGGGAAGTGATAGTTAGATATGGTCATAAAGGTGGACCTGGGGCAGCCAGATCCATGAGTCAAAATACACCTTCAAAAACAGCTGATTCTAGGACATTCTGATAAATTTGTGCAAATAAAAGCATCACATCGCATTCTTGGTTTCACTTCTCAAAGCTATGTACCTTTAACTATCTGCACATTTATGCTAGGATTTTCTTTACATGTGTCTTTTTTACTTTAAAATAGAGTTCTTAGAGGGCTGTGAAACAGTGTCACTCTCTAGAGTTGCTTTCAGAAGAGGTGTCCCTGTAGGTTCCACTCCTTGGAGCTGTCTGAAGTGTGCTTTGCTCTAGCTGCCATTTGGCTCTGGATGGAATCGCAGGGAGGTGGTACTCACAGAGCCTCCTGCTTCTGCTGCCCAGCCAAAGCCCCAGGCCCATGGCTTCCTCAACCTTAAAGGCTATTGGTGGGCCCTCTTCTTTACACCATTTTTTTCCCCACATCTTCCTGACAGGGTCAGTTATCACAACAAATCAGGTAATTCAAATTCATTAAATCATTTTAGAACAAGCAAAGCCTAACCCAAACACACAGATACCATTGTCTTTAGCATTCTTGCAGTTACTCTAGTGGAACCCTAACCCTAAGAAACATTTTTCCTAGGGGACACACAAGACTAATGCAGTAGTGGAACTGTAAGACTGTATAATTACCAAATTGTGGAATGTCATGACAACACCCAAAACCTGGTAGTAAGAGTCAGTGTGGCGCCAAGTCCAGGCTGGTGGGAGGGAATGTGGTAGCGTTTTCCAGCTAAGCCTTCATGTGCCTTTGTCTCCCCAGCTGTTATAAGTGCTGGCAGGACTAGGGTGCTGTACTTATCTTGGTGTCTTCCAGAGTCTAGAGACAACTGCCAGGCAGAGGAGTTCAGATGTGATGAGTTTTGAATAGGGACACAATGTGACAAAATACTGGTGGCAAAAGGATTAATCAGGAAATGCCTGCTAGTGGATTAAACAATGACCCTCCCAGAAAAGATGCACTCACATCTCAATCCCTGGAATCTCTGGGTGTGATCTTAGGTGGAGCATAGGTCTTTGCAGATATAATTAAGGGCCCTCAATCTAAGGACCAATGTCCGTACAAAAGGAAGCAGGAGAGGAAGAGGCACAACTGATGGGCAGAGAATAGGCTGAGGTGGTGCTGAGTTGAGGTCTGCCAGGGCATCCAGACAGTGCATTGCTGCTCATAGGTCATGGGGGAGGGTGGTCCTGCTTCATGTTGAATTTAAGGACTCTGAGAGGTAATTTTTTGTTTGTTCTTATCTTTTTTTTTTTTTGAGACATGCTCACACTATGTGGATCAGCTGCCCTTAAACTCAGAAGGTGGCCCAGGCTGGCCTCAGATCATGGTGATTAATCTTCCTGCCTTAGCCTCCTGAGTGATGGGATTACAGGCCTGTACCACCACTCCTGATCTTTCTGTTGTTTTAAGCCACCAAGTTTGCAACAATTCATCATCCTCAAACCAGGGAAGCTAAACTAGATGCTTTCATTTAAAAGCTGAGACACAGGACAGAAGGTGCTGGGGCTCAGAGTTGGACTGATGACAGACAGGAATGGATACCTTGAGAGGTGTGGAATGATGACAGGGAGCTGGGAAAGCATGGTGACAATGTGACAAACTCTCAGCAACAAGGGAGCATGTTGATATGGCCTGGAGTGTTATCATCACAGTTGGTTGATATGTGGCCCTCAGGATGTAGATGAAATAGAGAGCCTTGTGTGCAATCCCTCCGTAGCCCATACTTCTTCATTACCTTCAATCAACCCCAAAAGTGTTCCAGTTATACCCCATTCTAAACAAGAATGGCTCTTTTATTTGATTCATCAGAATCAGCCTCTGAAATTAGGCCAAAATACACTTGTTTCCTGCCTTACAAAGCAGCCATTCATCTGCTGGTCTCAGTAGGGTGTGTGTGTGTGTGTGTGTGTGTGTGTGTGTGTGTACACTTTGTTTTTCATAATCCATTTTTATTACTCTCATCTTGGTTTCAAAGTCTTTCTGCTTCCCGTTCACACACATTTTAAGAAGTCTGTCTTTGTATTGCTGTGTTTGGCAAAGTTTCTGGCATATAGTAGAGCTTTGTAGTTGTCTGGGTTTTTTTTTTTTGCTAAATATTGGTCCAGTGTTATATCTTCCTCTGTGCCAGTTTTGTTTTATCACAAATAAACATCTAAAAGCCCTTTGTTAACATAGTGTGTTAAGAAGATTCTTAGTTAGAGCTATAGGATGTTACACAAAAGTAGGGAGAAGAGCCCATCACTGCCCTGACCAAGACCAGCCCCACTCACCACACAGAATAAAGGGAAATCTGCATTGAATGGCTCCTATGATATTTTTAAAAATTGTGGATCTGTGTGCGTGGATGCATGTTATGCAAGGGCACATCTCCCTCCCTGGCTCCTTGATCCTGTCTCTGCTTTCAGGCCACCAGGACACAGCACAATACATCTCCTCTGTGGCTGGCCCTGCCACCACGCTCTTTGCTGTTTGGAGCCAACTGACCAAGAACTACAGATTTGTAAAATGATAAGAGAAAAGATACATTTCCTCCTTTAAGTTGTGAGTGTTGGGTGTTGTGTCCCAGTAAAAAGGAATGACAGGTACCCAAAATTCTATGTAAGGTTTTTATGACTTCCCATGAGTCTATAATTATTTGAAAATAAAAATTAATAAAAGAAATAAAACCAAGGTCAAAGTTTAAATGTTTGCTATGCTTGCTAACAAGGACTGATGTCTAAAAAGAGAGCAGTTCAGTTGAGAAAGGCGGAAGTGGGGGAAAAGGTAACATGTTCCAGGGGGAAGACATAGCAGCCCTCGGGCGACTTGCTGTTCAGAAGGGCATGTGGGCAGAGCTTGCATAGGATGCCACGGAGAGGTGAGCAGGGTGACTGCTTGCCTCTGGGGACTCTGCCTGGTAGCATGGAGTTTGAGATATTTTAACCTGAGGACCAGATCCTAAACTGCGATGGACCCAACCCTCACCCCCAGCAGTCCTCAGTCTGAAAAGTCCAGGTCATATGGAGTATATATGTGACTCTGTACTACTGAGCCCTTAGTCCACTTCCAGCATCAACACCAGCCATGTGAACTGGCCAGCCAGGGCTTCGGGGCCCTGCAGCCGCATCTGCATCTGCCTGCAGCTTCCAGGGACAAGACCCACTCAGCAGAGCCTATCAATCTAACAACCCAAAGAGGCCGTGAAAACCACGTGCTCTTGTGGAAGCCTTCAGGGTTGGAGCCTCATAGAAGACTGACCTCAACTAACCTCTTGTTCCTCAAAAAATCCACCTATAGTGCGAGATCTCCTTCAACAGCTGGGATGTGACGGCCCAACACTTAGCCAGTACCTGGTACACTGAAAGGGACTGCAAGCATCTTGAGAGGTAAAAGTACTTGGTGAATTAAAACAAAAGATTTCTTGCTCTTAGGAGAAACTAAAGATTAAACAGGAGACTTTCTTGGAGCATTTTCTGCAACAGTAATTTTTCCTCCTTGGAACTTTTAACTAGAATGAGAGGTCTATCTCGGAACCTGGACAAGTGAAAATACTGAAGAGGGAAGCAGAAATACTGCAGACATGTACGAAAGGCACAGGAACATGGTGAAATGTTTTCACCTGCATTCTTTCAAAAGAGCCAGTTTGGGTCATCCATGCAAGTGACCTTTGAGTTGAAACCTTTGTTTTCACTTTCTCTGTGGGCAGCTCAATACAAATGTTCTCCCTCTCATTGACTGTTACTTGGTGTACAGAAAAATACCAAGGCTCTTAGCCAGAGCTTTCTGTTTAGCTGCCAGGCTGCTAGCATGCGTGGTTCCTTAGACAAGTCTCTGGCTTTCTCAGTCTTTTTCCTCAGTCTGTTTCTTCACTAGTGAGCAGCTACACCACTGAACTCTTTAGGCATTAAATAGTATAATAAAGTATGACAATGTTCAGTGCATAGAACATAAGCAAAAAGTGCTACTAGCTTTCATTCCATATTCTGTTTGCTCTTCAAAGCCATTGGTTCTTTTGCATGAAAATTGTTTCTTCATTGAGTAATTATTTTGAGTGTCTTCTGGGCTAGATATTGAGAGCACAAAGACAAGAAACTCACAGCTTCTGGAGCATAAAGCAATAATGCTTAGTGTTCTGGTACAAGATTAGGAGAAAGAAGGGACCAAATACACAGACAGCAGTTCTGGGAGTGGTCTGAGGTCTAAGAAAGCTTGCCGGAAAGGGCAAAACTACAGAGTAAGATGATAAGAACTGCCAGAGGCTGGAGGGGATAAATAGCCAAGCTCAGAGTGAAACTATTCTGGAGGGCACTGTAATAATGAATATACATCGGCCCAGCTGCTCCCAACCCACGGAATTACAACACCATGAGTGAAGCCTAATGGGAATGTAGCATAAAGTAGAGGCCTTGTGGGGTAGTAACGTGGCCATGTAGATGCATCAGTTGTAGCAAATATGCCACTCTAGTGGAGAGTTCTGGTCATGGTGCAGAGGTTGAGACCACATAGGAAATCTCTCTACTTTTCACTTATTTTTTCTATATATCTAATACTGCTCTATGAAGTGAAGTCTACCAAGCAACACAACACAAAACAAAAAGCTTCCTGGAGAACGGAGTACATCCTTGTTGCATGGGCAGAGAAGGAAGAACGTGGATCTGAGGAACCATTGGAACCGTCTGCAAGGTGGTACTGGAACTGGCTTAGGGTAGGTAGTTTGGGTGTGGGAAGGGTATGTGGTAGTCACAGGCATGGAACTGGATCAGGCAGCCTTCAGCCCAGCGGGTCTTGTGCACCAGAAGAGATTTTGCTGTGTGCGCCTGCTGCGATTCATCTTCAGTGAGTGACGTGCCTCGCTCTGGAGTGCACACGCTCCTGCAGTGCACCTGCGCAGTGGGGCTCTGCAGAAGCACATTTCCTATTAAAAGTTATCTTACGTAAATGCCGTCTTAAAAAATCTCCTTGTCCTTTTTCATTTCCTCTTGGAAGAAGAAAGTACCACCCTGGTACAAGTGCCCTAAGTAAAGGGAAAGAAGCACCCCTGGAAGCGGCCTTACCCCTCCTGAGCCTGCAGATGGCGTAAGAGAGGCTTCCGCCACCTGGAGAGAGAGAGAGAGAGAGAGAGAGAGAGAGAGAGAGAGAGAGAGAGAGAGAGAGAGAGAGAGTGATGGGGGTGGGAATAGAAGCAGAATCGTTGGCGATCAAGAGGGAGAGAGAGTGAGAAAACTAAGTAATATCATCAGGGTCCTAAATCTACTTCATTTCTGTACTTAAATCAGTTTTCAGCTGAGGGTCCCTTTTTCAGAACTGGAGTCTGACAGTTGGACTTCCAGACGGGTTCGCTGCCCCTCCTCGGCTGCCTCCCGCAAAGCCGCTCTTGGGGGCACCGACCTCGCGGGCCCTGCCTGCTCGGTGTACACAGATGACTCAGGCAGGACGTGGCTGTGGACTTTTCCACGCTGCTGGAGAGAGCACCAGCTCCATCCCAGCTACAGCGATGCGACCTGAATTTTTTAAAAAAGATCCCCGTAGCCACAATATTCACCCTTGTTACACTAAAATATTTGGGGCTAGAAAGCCCAGTTCTAAAACATGCAGAAAGACAAAATCTGGTGATAGAAATGTGAAAATGAAAAAACTGGATTAAAATGAAAGGGGAATTTTAAATATTTCTTCTACAAGAATACTAAAAAGAGTTTTCTAAAAGAATTGGAAAATAAAAAGTAAAATCTTCTATTTCCACTCCACTTTTGATTAGAGACAGC